TAATCGTGTACCCTGTTGAAATGGGGTGTGCCAAAAAAAATGCTCCTTATAAAACCAGGTCAAGATCATGAACCTAATCTCCCAGGCTTTTTGCTAAGGATTAGGATCTTTGATCTGGCAGGTGGTCTACAGGGAATGAAAGAGCAAGGACAGAGTTGGAGTGAGGAAAAGAGGGAGGCAAGGGGAGAAGATTCATTTTCCATTTTGGAGCTACTCCTAGAAGGGAAGGCTTTAATCGGCTGATCGGAAGCCTTGTACAAGCCTGAGCAAAACATACGTGCTTACCTTATAAAACGAATGAGTTTGTGCAGAATCAAATTATTTTAGGATCTGTTCCTGCTGACTGAAGATTATGTAGCAAGGCAAAGGTTACAAGTGTCAGGGATATTTTCACAAGTTTTTAGTAGCACACCCCAGACTATCCAGACGGTTCAGTTTAGGGGTAAAGATGATAACAGACACGGGCAGTCCAATTCAGGCTAATCCTTCTCATTCTGCCCAGATTAAGAGCAGAGGGGCCAAAATAATCACAGAGATTACTGGGGACAAACACACTCTGAATATCATGAGTCATGGAGTAAAATGTGACTCAGGGGTACACACTGCTGTCGGGATCAGGCTTGGGTCTGTCTGGCTGAGGATGGCGATGCATGAGAAACAGTGCTTTATACAGACATACCACAGCCTATTTACGTTTAAGGAGTTCTGGCAACTAATTGTGTTTATTCTGATAATGATATCATTACATTTCATTAATGGATTTAATGTTTAGCCTTCAACGTCTTTCCATCCCCTCTCTGTTTGTCTGACCCCCATAACTCAACGGTTGGTAGCATCAATCCATTATTTTCAGCAGCTTCTCCTACAATGCTTTGCTTAGTTCTACAAGAATGATAAACGAACTTGGCAGATAACCTGACCCTTTTCGGTCTGCCAGTCATGGTGTATAATGTGTATCATATGAGAAGCAGCCTGTCTCTTTGATCCCTCGCAGGGATTAGGAGACGAGTCGGCTGTGATGGACAGAACAGACACATTGGTGACTGCCTGCTGTTAAGTAAGCAGTGATGAAGCCAGATGAGTAAATAAGACAGTGTGTAACTCTGGATATCTTAATGGACTCCATAATAGAGTTGATATAATGAAATGGGTCAATGGAAAAAAAATAAATAAATACATTTTTAAGGAATTATTTGAACACTCGGCTTAAAATTTGTGACATTTAAAATACAGGCAAAAAAAATGTAGTCAGATCGTTTTGATAGAACTGCAAAAATCAAAAATGCAACTTAAACTAGAAACTGATTGTGACAATGTAGTGGAAATCACTGAAATATGACAAAGTCTCTGAGCTGGACCACAATAGGGGGTTTACTCTGGAGATCATACTGCACAATGAGCACCATACAGAAAGTTCAGTCCATTTCATTGATTCTTATTTATTATACATCAGCATCACAATACTAAAACAGGTTCCATTTCTCCTTGCAGACAACTAGAAAAGTCTAATTGCATATTATTTCTATTTCCAAGTTTGGAAAAACATGATAACTTAATGCTGTTTAATGTGTACAGAGAAAAAGAATGAGACAATACAATGCATGTATCTGACTTTGTGTGATTTCGGACACCAAACCACCTATTTCAAATGTTATCAGCTTATTAAATCACAATTGTTAACTGTAATCAGTTCTATAAATTCGAATTGTAAGTGCCTCTTTCTACTCACTAGGATTGCACAAGGTGCATATTACCTTACCCTGATTATAGAGACCTCTTCTACCTTATCACACTGGTAACATTAAGCTTTGTAATGTAAGTAAAGGGTTGAAAGGTTGTATTTTAACATTAAATATGACTTCTTCCTTACCCTAAACAAGTACTTTTGTTGGTGCTGTAAGTCAAATTAACTCCAATTACAGGTTCACATGCTACAGTGATATTAACTTGGTTTGTTTTTGTTTTTTCAAGTGAAATAGAAGTTGAAGTTGTGTGAATCCTAATACACAAGGGTAATAGCACTGGGTAGAGGGTGAAAATGTGTAACTTGAAAGGGTTTTATATTGCAGCGGAAGGGCAGTTAGTTAAAGTGTAAGAAATACTTAGACATACGGTAAGAAATACAAGTAGTGATACTGTGTGTGGCATAGTCCGAGTCTTATACAG